TTCCCTGGAGTAGGTTATAGAAAAGCATAGTATCACATCTGGAAGAGTAGCAGTATGTTTTGGCCTGTATTGATTGGCAGAAAAAAGAGAAATAGTTATTTAATTATTTGCAGGAGTGGGTCTGGCACAATTTAAAAAAATTACTCTACACACTTGATTTAATCAAATGGTAAAGATCCTGTGACTGATACCGCCATATTTCTGGAATGTGTTAGCTTTTTGTGTTTACGAATCAATGTTCCCTCTTAACGTAAAGTCAAAAATACCTAATTTGGAAGACTAGCTTTAAATAATACATTTTTCTTTCCTCCTAGCCAGAGAGAGAGAGATTGTATTCAAGTGAATGCAGTTGTAATTATTTTATTGAACTGTGAAATTCAATTAAGTTAAGCTTTGTAGGAAAATGCCTAAATGTTAGTATCAAAAATATGGTTTCTGTTATGTTCAATATCACAGAAGTATGTTTTGTATGTTCTGCTGTCATCAGGACCTCTGTTGCTGGTATTAATAAAAAGTTATCTGAATCATGCAAGTTTGTCTCTTGCATGAGACATATGTCAGTATTCTTTTGGCATTTCCTTTAGAATTGGGCTCCTAGAAAAAGTCTATGTACACTGTTTCATATGTTTAAAAAAAAAAAAAAACCCTAAAAAACAAACAGAACAAAACCCCAGCCCCTCTCCCTAAAAAAACTCAGAGACATGTTTTCTCAGTTTGCTTAAGTTGTACAGTAGTTGAAGACTGAAAAATTCCATTTTGTAGTTAAATTAAATGGTTGCAGGGGTAGTAAACTTTTGGTAGTTGTTACAAGTTTTGCTTGAACATGGAGCTAGGAAATATAATTAGTATTTCCATATGGCCAAAGATTTCAGATGCTGGAATAGTGTATGTAATTATTTTCTACAATAGTTTGCGTTTGGAAGAATAAAATTTGGATAAGAGCTTTTTGCTGTGAATTACAAGAAGTAATTTTGGAAACACAGTAGTGATATTTCTTCTTGTCTATATTTTGGTACTGCTTCTGTGAACTGGTATGTGTGGAGAAGCAACCAAGTGTTTCCTGTTGATAGGAGGACATTTGTGCAATTTGAAGTTAATAGAGAAGCTGCCATCAACTGCAGTGTTTTGTAGACCTTTACCAATTGATTCTAACTCTAGTTATACTTTTAGAAGCAGCAGTGATACATTTTTGCTCATTTTTGAAGTCTCTATTCCCCTGCAAATACGGAAAGGCATCCTCATCCTGTGAAATCAGTGATCTACAAATACAATGATTTAAAGTTATTTGGGGAAGGAGAGAATTGGTAAACAAACCAATGAAACTCCTACAGCCTTGAAGAACACTATGCATATCATCTGAGACTCTTACAACATTTATTATAAGTGTATTGGATGTAATGTTGATGTCTATTAAAACATCCCTCAACTAATTCTTTAAGCAGTTTAACTCTTCCTAATAGCTATTAATTTACATAGAGATTAATTGAGCTAAAAACAGTGTAAAAATACAGGAAATATTTTTATCTATGTTGAATCAAAGGTATTAGCTGTTGCTGTTTGTTTAGGTAGGAAAGAAGATAAAGACTTTTGAAAGGATTTTGTTTTTCTTTCATACATTTCAATTAGTTTCCACTGCAAATCCTTGGAAAAGTTTATTGGGTGTTTGTGATTTATTTATTTTAAATTGTATTTGACATATTCCATTGTGTACTAGTTTGCTGTATATTGGAAAATGTATATTGGTTGATGTCTGTATAGACAATAATTTTCAGTTTAGTTTTTCAAAAGCTGCTTATCTATTCTGGCTCTAACATTATGGGTGACAGAAATTGCTTCCTTTCAGGATGTTGTTCCTTGTCTTTTCAGTTGTGCCCGAACAGCCATCTGTGGGATTGGGATTTAAACACACAAAAATAGTCTTTCACTCTGTATCTGAAGGTTACTTTAAATTAAAAGTGCTCAGTGATACAATTTAAAGTGCAGTATAATTTAAAAGGGTAATAAACTGTGACATGGGAAGTAGAGGACAAAAACGTGTGGTGGTTTCTGTTTGAGGCCTGTATGTTCAGGAACTGTGGTGCTAGTAGTTTGTTCTGTATGGTAGAGCCCTGCTGATGTATCATCTTTTAATTTCTGGGTATAAATAACATCCAGTTAGTAAATGTTACTTGTTTATTTTTTCACTGGTATATTTCAGATGTCATGTCTTGCTTCTGAAGCTCAAAACTATTGGCTTGTATGAAATATTTATTTATCAGTTTATGTATAGCCACGTGATTTTCTTTTCAGAATCTCTGATTCCTCCAGTGACTTTCAAAAATTGTTTGGGTAAAGATATAGAACTTTTCTTCTATGAGCAAGCCAGGACTGCAGCCTAATTTACTATCTCTGCTTCTACTAACAAACTGTGTTGTCAGTTCTTATGTACAAACCTATGATGGCCTACTCTTAATATTGGAAAGTCAAGGGTTCAGAAGTTATCAGGTATCTCTTTAATTAAAATTCTGGCTGTAGCTCATATCTGCATCTTATTTCAGCCTTCTTGGATATATGACTTTTGATATAGCCTGTAATTAAGTAAGTATGTGCTACTTTTCTTCATAGTACTGCAGCTTTGATCAATGAACAGCACCAGTTTTCTTTGGAAATTCATCAAGAATTGTAGGGCCCCTGCTTCACTTAAAGAAGAAGTTAGAGGATTTATATAGAATGAGGGCAAGATACTGTGGAAGAGTAGTTTGTTCTTAAAGGTTGTGTCAGAATGACTGTGTCTATTGTAGCAAGCGGTTGTGCAGCTGAATAAGAAAGGATCTGTAAAGCAGTGCTGTAGAGTCAATATCCATACTAACTGTGTTTCAGGAGTTTTACTTCAGACTAGCCCTAGCCCGGTCCCTTGGACTTGAATGTCCATTAGCTATTGGAGTGCAGTCTTCTAGTTTAATTTTATCAAAGGAGAGTCTCATTTATGGTTCTGAAACAAGTGGAAAAGATTGTAATGTCTTCTGTATAAATGTGTTGTGATCTAAAATAAAGTGACAATGAAATTTCACCCAGTGTATATACAAGAAGAATGAATTAGGGTGTAGAACTTGAATTCCTGACAAACATTCCTAGAATTACATTTGCTAACTTATGAATCCTTAATATTGCCAAAAATGAAAGGAAGGTTTTGTCATTAAGATAGTTGAATAATGCCTTGGAGAGTTGCCTTGTTCTTGTTGTCTTCTGCAAGGTCATACGTTTAGTTAAGTGATTTTAAACTACAGTGTTCAGAGGTGGTCATCAATGGTTTTTCCTCATTTCCTAGGCTTTATTTTGACAACTTAGAGTTTGATTTTTTTTGTTTGTTTGTTTCTGTTTTTTTTCTTCTTCTTCAAAATGCTAACCATTCATTTCGTATAACTGAAATCATCAATGGCTCAATTTGGTTGTAGAAGGTTCCACATAAAACTATATTCTCGGAAAAATTAAGTCTTATGTCTAGTATTGGATACCCCAAAATAAGTGAATACCTTGAGCTTTAATCTCTGTGAGTCTGTATTCTGTCTGTAACCCAATCTCACTTTATATTACTTTAGTGAATAATTAATTGTATATGAATTATGCCTATACTATAGTGATCATTACCAAAGGATGAACAATAACTCTGTGAGGATCTGTGTCAAAGTAGGTATTTTCCTCATGACTTAATACTTCTATTAAGAGAAGTAACTTGTCCGCTCAGCCAGAATTGCCAGGTTATTTTAGTTATTTTGGTTGGTTTTTGCATGGATTGGTGAGCTCAAACTGAAATTCGGTGTATTAAGAGATAGCAATTTTATAAAACTTACAGCTTATTTGAGGCATGTCGTTAGTGAGTTTACTTGTCAAAGAGCAGGTTTTCTACTGAGCTGGGTTTTTTTCCATATGTCCAAATCCATCCTTGTAGCACTTAGCCTCCTCGTATTTTTGTTTCTGTCTCCTGGTCCATTTTATTTCTTCTCTTTGTTAGATGAGGTTTTTATCCTTCTCCATGTTACCCTGTATCCCAGAACTTAAACAGAGGTAAAGGGGATGGGACACAGAGCAACTGAATGCAAGGATTAGTGTGTCCTTTTGAATGCTGTCAGGCCAATGTATGTGCTTGTTTGCTCTGTGTGTGTGTACTAAACAGTAATATTGAGATCTGAGGCTTGCTCAGGAATAGTAGAATCTTCAACAGTCCACCAGATTTGAAATGATAATGTGAGCTGCCTTTTTTTTTTTTTAAACCATAATTGGATAGACTTTTTAATGGTGTAGAAGTATACTTATCTCTGGCAAAAAAGGCTCTAGCTGTCAGAAGTGTCAAGTTTTTTCTGTGAAATACGTAGTCATGAAAGCTTTCCAAAGAAACTTGTTTTGGTGTGGTGTTTAGGTGTGGAAAAGCTCTCAGTCTGATGTTAATTACACTTATGTTGTTTTATTAGCGATAAAGTTACTTATTATCTTTTGATCTCTGTTATAAAGTGAGAAACTAACTGCTTTTATCATGTTTCTTGGTAATCTATTTTGTATCTTCTCTATCTTTTTTAATCTTAAAAGTTTAGTAGGAAATTTAGGACCATGCAAGTGTGGTTTTACAGTTGTCTTAGACTGAGTAAAGATCATACTGAAGCTGAAAGGCTGCAAGCAGGAAGATTGCTGCTTTTGAGGGCAGTTGTCTTATGAAACCTTTGTGTAAGTTATACATTAAATTTAGTACGACTACCAGCTGTACAACTTTGAGTATTTAAGTTATTTAAGTTATTTAAGTTGAGTATTTAAGTTGATGGTATTCAAAAATATGATAACTTCATATGGACTTATTCTTTAGTGAGATTAAATTGTAAAAGGTGTATAACTTTACATTAGCATGACTATTTATACTTGCAGATACTTTGATGGTTTCCCTAGATTTAGATTTTTTCAGATACAGAGTTAAATAATGTTTGAATGCTTTTTCATTTCATGTTTTATTTTTCTGTTTTTATTTCTTGCAGTAGTATCTGAAGTCCATGCATCTCAAAACGTATCTCCTGATGTTCTTCTGGAGCACTCTGTGCCTTCTTCCTGCCTTGTTCCTTCTGACTCATTTACTTTATCAAGTGATAATGTGGCAACAGCTGTTCAAACAGCCAACAGTGTTCTAAACACAGCTGTTCTTAAAGAACAGGTAAAACCACAATTTCTCTGTTTGAGTATGAGAACTTGATGTAGTAAATACCAGCGAATTGTACCTTTTCTGACCAAATCTAGATTACTTTGCCTTGTAAGAGCAAAAGCTGGGCCTTGAATGATTTCTGTGATTTAGACTTTGAAGTGAAGTACATCTTTAATATATTAAAGTGTAGAACATATAAGCGAATAATGCATAAATCTTGTAATAACTGTAAGACACATACTACTTTCATATGGACTGTAAGAGACATAAGTGTGTTAAAGGACGATTAATAAGTTAAAGGTATGCTGATACAGTAAGGCGTGAAAGTAGGAGATGGTGTCAGGAAAGTTCTCTAAGAAAATTTATTGCTTTTAAAGCTGCAAAGACTACAGCTGTAAAGATCTCATACTTGTATGTTTTCTCAAGAGGTTTTAGAATTACAAAATTAATATTTAATTGTATTTAATTTTATGAATTTTACTTTTTATATAATTTTTTTCCCCACTCAAAGGTGGACTTCCATAACAGTTTAAGTTGATTTCCACCCCCTACCTCCCTGATCTGCTGCAGTTCTAGCTGTGTATGCTCAATCTCTCCTTGCAGCTGCATAGTGTTGGGAACACAGCTTTGAGGCTTTTAAGAGGGGTGGTAGAGGGTGGGAGAGGTAGGGACTCATTTTTTTTACCACATACATAAACAGATGGGCAAGGGAGGGAAAGGAATTTCTGTATGGAGGTCAGCACAAAAATGCAAGACTGCTGTAGATGGAAATCAAATTGATTTAGCTTCCCACAAAACTGAATGTTTCTTGCCATTGATTGTTTATTTTTGAGCAGGTTTACTGACTGCAAAGGTCCTTGTTTCAGGATGCAAAATAGCATATACTTGAATCAGAAAATGCTGTTATTTTTCTCTGACTCATTTGGGCTGGGTTGTGCCCCCCCCCCCCCGTTTCTAGCACTTACTAGGTTATTATTGCTAAGTTATCTTTCTTCAACTAGTCTTATCAAGTCCTAGGGCTACTCATGGTAAAAGGTGTAATTCACAGTTAAGTCAGATTTACATAAAAGCTATATATTCTAGAATCAAGCATTTTTTATTATTATTTTTTGATAGAGCTGTTTAGACAACTTGGGCAAAATACTTGTTTTGATTAGACTGAGCGGCCTCTGCATGTTCACAGTACCAAAGAGAGCGTGGCAAGTACAGCTCCAGTAGTTTAATCTTAGTAGTGATTCAGATATTCTCTTGAATTTTTTTCCCAGCAAAATATTCTAGGTAAAGCCTATAAAAAGTGAAGAAATATATCCAAATGCAAACAATGCTTGGAAATTTGTAATAATCAAAAAGGTTTTTTGGTTAATTTTTATTTTCTTTTTTAAATTTATTTTGACTGATTTCAGTCAGGGTCTTTCTCCATGTTGAAAGCCCTTCCTCTCCTTCTCTGACATTATGATAAGCAAATTTCTTTTACTGGGAGGATGATCAACATCTGCTTGTCTTCAGCACAGCAGATCCTTTTTTTTTTTTTTTTTTATTTTAGCTAACAGTGAAATGTGAATAATGGGTATCCTTTGTTTGAGCTAGGTCAGCAACATTACATTTTGTTATGGTCTCTGGAAAGAGCACTTTTGATATTCCAGGATACTAAGGCTTAGGTATTTTGCTTTTAAGTTGTTTAAGATGCCATTCGGTTAAATAATCTTACTGAAAATAGACAATATGTTTTTCTACTTCTGAGTAATTATACATGCAAATGTTATTACCGGCTCTGCTTCAGTCTTTCTCATATCTTGTTCTAGCCAGCTGCTAACTGCCCCATAGTTCCATAAACAAAAATTGCACTGATATTAATGCAGAAAATAATGCAAACTAAAGAATGCAGCATTAGCAAGCATTTCCAAGGGAGAGAGAGTGTTGAGATGAGGAGAAAGTCCTTTTGCATTGTTTCATAATGGAGCCTAGCCTTTGTACTTTTGGATGACGCTAAAGGAAAATGATTAAGGATATATGGTAGACATAAAATATTCTTCTACCTGTTAGAGGAGGATGTTAACCATATTCTTCAGTAATTGTATCTCCAGAGCCTCTTGAGGTTTTATATTAAATAAACTTCAACTTTTCAGACTCCGTCATCATCATTATTGGCAATGCCAGACTCAAGATGAGTGGTATGCAGAAGTAGAATTAGAACATACAGCTTCTCTTTGCTTCTCACAGAAGGGGAATTCAGAGCGCAAGTTACTGCTTTCTTTTTGTCTACTTCATCTACTGGATCTTGTGTGTCCATGTACACTCAACAAGTCTCAGATAACTGGGTTTTTTGTTTCTTTGAATCCAAAGATACTCATTTAGTAATCAAAAAGTCAATCCATTATTTGAGCATCTGCTGGGAATAAAAGCTGTTAAGGGCATGGTTTAAATCAAGCTAGTCAAATAAACATGTTGACATGTTCCTTCTACCACCCTTCCCAACTCTCAAGCGCTGTTGACTTTCAGAAAAGTTATTGCAAAAAAAGGCAGCTGAATTTAATTTACCAATTTTTCCCTTTAAATTACTTCTGTTATATAAAAGAAGTTTTTTTTTTTTTTTTTTAAAAAGAGCTTTGGCTTCTGTGAATTATACCACAAAGTATTTTAAATCTCTCATGATTTATCTTCGTGCTTTGCTGTAAGTATAGGTTTAATCATTTATGTCCCTTTTGTTATGGGTTGTGTATTCAAGAAGCCTACTTTTCCGTTTTTGTACTTCTACAGTTCATTACAGAGCATGTTGTAGACATGTCTCAATTACTTTTATTCTGTTGGTGTAGCTTCAGGTGTAGCATTTTGTGCTTTATTTTAGCACAAAAACTTTATATTCAGCTTTTAATTGGAATCCTTTTCAATTACTTCCTTTTCTAGGGTTTTGCAGCCTGTAATGGGTAAAATCATGGGGTGACTAATCCAAAGAGAGTTTAGCGTTATTTCGTTGTAAACGTAGTGCTTTAAGATGAGCTGTGCTGTTTCACTCCCATCTCCTTTCACCTCTCTGGGTATTTTGACCTCAGGAAGCAGTGGAAAGTGAGGAATCTGATGTGTCATCCTCCTCCTTAGAGCCTTCTCCTAAAGTGTTATTGAAAAGCGGTAGAGGAGGTTCAAAGTATGGATGTGAATACATCAAGAATTACTAGCTACTGTTCCGTTGTTTTTGACCATCAGCAAGCTATGTGTAAGAACGTGCATGGCCAGTTTCAGAGAATTGTGGCTACAAATAAGTAATCTTAGTGTTTATAGTTCTTAAGTTCTGTAATTTCATCTGGACATGAAATTTAACTTGCTTAGAATGCTATATTCCCTTTAGAATTTTCTTTACCATTTTGTTTCTCTTATTAGATTCAAGCAGGTATTCCAGTTGCCTCTCTGAATCTAATTGAAGACAAGTCTTTAGTCACATCAACCATCGCTTTGGATGATGCTGAGATACAGAGAACAAAAGAATCAAAGAACAACCTTCAGCAAACTGTTGCAAGCTTAGAAATTAAACTTGACACTGCTGAAGAAGAAAAATTTATCATTAAAAAGGTATGACTACTTTTCTCATAGAAAAATGTTTGATATTTACACAGAATTTAAATACAGCTGGATTTGGCAGTTATATTCATGTGAGATGTGCAATGCTTTTTAATAGAAATGAGCCAAACTTCATAGAAGTGAACTAAATTTAGCCAAAATAGAATTTTTTCATGTCATGTGTCTGTTTCAGGCTGAATTTTTCTAAAGTTTTAGAAAAAATGATTTGGACTACTCTTTAAAAAAAAAAAAAAAAAAGGGGGGGGGGGGGGGGGGGGGGGCGCACGGGGGG